TTTTATAAAGTTTTTTATATAAATTAATGATAAAAAAAAATGTTGGGTGCACAAATTAGAATTTAATTATTATTATTTTTTAATCAGATTGTTTTCTTTTCACCGGAAGGGGCACAGCAATTCCTGCTCGGTGGAGCTGACTGCGATTGCGTAGAACAAGCCTCCTTAAACTGGCGCGAAGGAGATGTTATCTCATCCAGGTATCTTCGCCTTCCTGTCCCCCTTCTCTTCTCCACCTTTTCTCTGCTAATCCGAATCTGCGAAGAGGTCGTGTTTTCTCCTCAAAATCCACTGAAATATCAAAGCTGCTGCTAAGTTTTCTCCAATTGCATCGAAATACTTCCGTATCTTTCGCAGTAAGTTTCTTCTTCTCTATCTGGTAGCTTTTCATGCCGATCGTTGAGCTTCTAAGCCGGATAATTTCGCTTTTCAGGTTTGCCGGTGCATACTGTCTTTGCGCTCAGGTGGAAACGGCGCAATGCTGCAATGGATGGGGGGATCAGGCGGAAAGTGGCGACTGTAAGCGTTGTTTGGAATTCAACTTTAATTTGACTGTATCAGAGGCAGTTAGTTTGAATTGTTTTCTGTTGGAATTTTTCATCTCATGAACGTCATCGAATTTGAGAATTTTTTAAACGTAGCCTGCAAAATATGAACAATTCAGGCAATGACAATATTCTGACCGATTACAATCTGTAATTGATTTTATGAGAGAATAAGTAATGTATGTTCCAGTCTACTGCTGCAAATTGCCAGACAACTTATTTGTTTATTAAGACTAGACTTCTTCTTTGCAATTATATATTGGAAAAGAATTACTCCGCCCCCTTGGTTGGGAGATTTGTGTCACTATGTTATAGCTTGTGTCTGAAGTTTGCAGATTTAATTATTTATCTAAGTTTTTGACTGGAATATTGGCATGCTTCCATTTGTTGTCAATACTCTATAATAAAAGTTTAACAATGTTAAGTATATCACTAAGTGTAATATTCCCTGCTGCATTTGTCACCAGAGAATTCAGTCTTGACATGTTTGCATTTCCTTTGTGCATATTGTCTATGGAGAATTTCAGTCAAGGAGGTCTACACAGAAGAGGTGGGTATATGGATGTGTATGTTAGTTCTCTTTGTTATATTATTTGTTAATGCACTATTCCCATGATCAATGGCAGGGTAGGTTCTCTCATAAATATTTGGCTACTTCTTTGAAAAACGCAGTCATGTAAATTTGTAAACTTTTTTTTTTTTTTTTTCTATTTGTTAATGTTTTATAAGTTCAGATGATTTAATCTTTCTTTTTCAATATCCAAGGCAAAAACAATATTTTGAACAACGGAAACAGCAGCAGCAACAGTCAGCTGGTCCAGAGGGATATGATGATAGAATCAACATAGGTGGGCAACATAAAAAAGAACATCAATCACTGGATGTTCTCGATTTTCTAAATCTGTCAACCATTTCCAACGAATGCAGATCTTCTTTCCCCCATGGTAAGTGTCTAAAATTATTGACAGCCAAAGTTTACTGGTAGTGTATTTCCATTTCTCTGAGTTCGTTTGGAGTTTTATAGAATAAGATTAAAGAATGATGCTTGATATGTCATTGTATGAGTTATTTATATATATATGTATATATATTAAATTCTAGAGAGAGAGGGAGAGAAAAAAAAAAACTGAATTATGAGACTGCTCCCAATATCAAGCTGATAATATAGTAGTCTACCTTTCTTGCAAGTGTTGCCCTTCTGTAACAAACCAACAGGATGCAATTCTTTCATTTCTTTTTCTCTTTTCAATTATGTTTTCCTGCCTGTGACCGCCTTTTCAATGTTCTAGTAAAAGCTGAAATGAAAAGGTATAAATAGTGGCGACCAGTTCTGGCTAATGCATCAGTTCCATCAGATTTTGATCCAATGTGTTAACAATCCTTTTGAAAGGAATCAGTTCTGACAAATATATACAGCCATATTTAAGGGCTTCTGTGCCCTATGTTCTGATAAAACGAAAGTGGCTTCCCCAGAGATTCTCTGCTTTTAGATATGTAACATATGTTGATAACATAGAAATATAACTATTTTCAGTGTGATGGCTTGTTATATTTTTTTTATTTTCTTTCTTGGTACTCAAGTTCTGTTGCAGCCTTATCCTTTTCCTCTATATTCTACAAACTCAACGTTATAGGAAAAGAAGACCAAGAGCTCAACCCTTCAACAATGAAGCATCATATCCCAAAGGGTCCACCAACAATTTTTCCCAATGCAGTCACTCCTTCATATTTTGTGAAAGTTAAGGAAGCAAATAAGTACGTCAATCTCTCTGCATGACTGCAAACTTTGGTCTGATTTTTTGTCAAAACCAAGTAACTTCCACTTAATAAAGTAGATATGATAAGTTTACTTCTAAATGCTATTGTGTATGAAACAGGAACTCCAACAGACTATTAAGGGGAGATCGTTTCTAATCTATAAAATCATTCAGTCAGTTGAATTCAACTGCTTTGTCTCTTTTTATTATTCTCTTTTTTTTTCTTTTTTTTTTCTTTTTTTTTTTTCCGTATAAAGTGCATATACCACTCTTAAACCTTGTCTTTCTCTTTTGTCAAAGGTGTCTTGGCTTGCATCCATCTTCCTTTCACTGCTTAACAAATGAAGATTCAGATGCTGATAAAATGATATCCTTCCTCTAAATTCATCAGGTTTAGGTACCGTTGGAACTGAAACTCCAGTGCATTCACCAAAAGGAATTGGCAGGTAACAGCAGCGCATAACTATTCCTTCTATGCATTTTCTTTATTTCATTGCATTTTACATAAATGTTTATTGGTTTTAACTCTATGTGATTATAAAATTTCTTCTGATTATCCCTCCTTATGCTGGAAGGATGCAAGGCAACAAAACTTGTCAGAGAATTTTAATCATGTGCTGGGTAACTTTGAACTAAAAACAGTAAGAGCATAACGTTTTACAGGAAATGCTGTCTTGGATAAAGTTTGTTGGCTTGACCTTCCATAACATTAATGATGAACAAAGGCCATTAATATAATCTTGAACTTCCTATTCCTTTATTCTTCACATTTGATCCATATCTGGATGGAATATCGAAATCCTAGGTTTCAATTTACCGTACTTTCTTTGTCTACTCTGGATTAAACTGAGTTGTCTATCTCGCATGCATTCCTTGTTCTCTTATTTGATTGAGATTGAACTGATTATTGTTGTCTGCTAATATAGGATGAGATAATGCAAGATATCGATATGCCGCTTGGTTACTGTCCTTCAGATTTCTCACTGGGCATAATGGATTCCTGTGGCAACAAGATGCAGAAATTCTCCAATGTCAAAGACCACATGCCACTTGATGGCAATAATTGTAAAATGAAGAGCTCTTTTGGCAAAATAAATATCTTCTAAATCATTACTAAGATGCATTGTATTGAAATTTTAATCTATATTTGTTTCTTAATTTATTTCCCTTAAATAGTTCAATTATAATTGCTATATAGATATAGTTTTTATGACAGTCACAACTTGCAACACTTTATCATAATTTTTATTTCTTTCCTTTTCCTTGTTCACCAGCTATGTCGAAATTCATGGATGATGAATATCAGTACAGCCCACCATCAGCTGATGAATTTCTATATGAAAGGGAAGATGGTATATCTTGGAAGAAGTGGCAATGCCAAATTAATGGTAGTGCTGCTGGTTTTTTGAATTATGGAGACAACCAGATGTCAGATTGCTCTTTTGAGAGTCCCCACCTGCTGAAGAAAAGGTGTGCCATCACAACTGAAAATCTTCTCTATTTTGAGAAACAGGTTTTTTTGACAAAGTTGTTGGATCTGTGCAGGGGTAATGCCAAAACCACAAAATTACATATTATAGGTGCTCTGTTTTCCTTTGCTTCCTTACCATGTTGATTTATAGACCTTTTATCTATAATAGTAGGTGGTCCACCTAGAAGTTTTCAGTTTAGATGGACCCCTTAGGACTGATTTATGTTACTGTATAAAGTACACTTGTTCTGTTTTTCTTTTATGTGCTGCAATTATTCTTTGAAACCAAGCAGTTAATATTCTCTGCTTTTGCGTTCTGCTGATTTTGACAGTATAGTTGTAATTTGTACTAGGAACATAGGCTCTTTGGTTCTTCCTTTGACTTCTTTCTTTAGATTCATTATCAGAATCACTTCCAAAGCCCCACACTTTAGAAACTGATCATGATTTCACACATTAAATGGGGTAAGGCCATTTTTTAGAGAAAAAGTGTGGCCAATTGGGGTCTAGCATCTCGTAAAGTTTTGCCTTCATATAATGGCAAGGATCCCTTACTTGGGTGGAATTTTTGATTTCAGAGATGTATCCAACCAACTTGATTGGGCTAGTTGTGTGAAAGAAGATACGAAGGATAATTTGAGCTCTCTGAGGTAGCTTACAGTAACATTATTTGTTTCGAGGTGATTTTCCCTTTTTTGGACCAAGTGTTGCAAGGTAATTGCATTTGCTAATACTTATACCTTTCTTTTTTCCTTTTAAACTTTTGGCAGTGAGGAATCATGCTCATCTAGTGCAGGTTAACTATTGATCTTAGAAGATAGTCTACAATTTAATTTCAGTTGTTGCAATCTTCAGTGAAAAGCATTTTTCAGTCGACTAATGTGAATATTTTCCAGACCTCATCTCAGTGAGGGACAAGAAAACCTATTCACCTCCAAATTTAAGGCCTAGTTGGAACAGAATCATAAGTGACAACACATTTGACAGCTCCAGAAACAAGCATGATATTGGTGACATTGTTTTTGCCAAAGAAACATGGAAGAATGACGACTGGGATGATAGTCAAAATGGAAGTGATGCATTTGGATCAGGAATATGCACTGGAACACCAATTGCTTCAAAGTCAAAGCAACCCAAGCACTTAAGCTCTTCTTTCCAAAATAAAATAGGGCCATCTCAGAGTTGGTTGTTTGAGGAAGGGTGCATTTCTGCTGATAGAATTTCAGATTTCAATTGTTTTGGTCAAACCAATGGGGCAGAACCCACATCCTTGGGATCCAAGCTATGGAATGAAGATCCTCTTGGTGATTTTCCTGTTCCTAAATCATTTGTTGATTCTAAATCTCCTTCTGACAGATGCAAATGGAGTGAACCCATCACGTGCTCACCTTCCAGCAGTTTCACAGCTCACAAGTTTTCTTTCTGCCAACCAATTGACCACAGGAATTCTCTTGATTCCCCTGTATACTGAAAGATCAGGTTTGGGCCAACTGCAGGGGATTCATCTCCATGTTCTGCAGCTGAAGGCACTCCTCCTCAAGGAGAGTCAGACCTTCCTGATTTATCGGGACAAGGAAGTGTGAGTGAAGATGAAAATAAATCAGTACTCCAGACAGCCAAATGTGAAAGGTTTGAGCCAGAGAAAGAAAACTGCATCCGCAATGATGACCCTTTCTCAGAAGACTCTAAAGTAGTGAAAGCTTTGATACTCAAGAGCAAAGATAGTAAATCCAAGGAAGTAAAAGATGGAACTCCAGCACAATTGAACCTGAAAACTACAAGTTCTCTGGAACATACTGAGGAGACTTCATCTTCTGTGAAGATCCCTGACAAATCTAAGAACCATGCTGATGATAAAGGGTATGCAAGACAGACTCATCTTTCTCTTTGCCTTTATATTGTTTACTTTGACCGGCTAAAACACAAAATTTCCTATTATGATATCCATTATGACATATAATGTTAAACAGTCTCTCACTGTTGTTATCTGTTAGATATAACCATGATGCGAAAGCTCCTCATCCTTGTCAAATTGGGTATGCGGGTAGCTAATAATTGGCCTTTTTCTATTGAATTGCCGTTGCATGAACAACTTCATTGTTTGTTTTAAACTGTTTTCCTGGATTATTTTGTTTCAAATCAGGTCCTGAATTGATACAGGTGCAGAAGATGCAAAGTCTGAAGGAAGAAAAATACCGAGTAACAGACAGTGGTTCTGTCAACGTATCAAAGCCAGTGATGATGCTCAAAAGTTACGTTCTTCACCTTCTGCGTGTACAGAAAGTTCTTGAGGAGGCATCTGCACTGAACACCTTAAAGAAGGTATAACAAAAACCTTCTTATGATGGATATAAAAGGACACTGCATTACCCCCCTGCATTTTACATTCATATACTTTCTTTTGTATGTGGCTGTTCCAATTCTCTAATTTTTTGAAAAATGGAATTCTCATTTTCGGCCTCGAGGGGTTTCCAATATGGAAAAGTGAAATATAGTTCACATATAATAAATTATAAAATAATGTTTTTCTTATGGAATAACTTCTCATTATCACTTAACCGGGTTTTTGCATCCAATACTAATAGTTCGTCGCCAAATCTTAGTAATTGGCTTTAGTAGGTCGAGAATTCCACCCACCAACGACGGGAAAATTCCCCCTTTCTTGTGTATGAGACGTAAATGCTCTGGATAAACGACGTCGTCATTGCAAATCCTATAAAATAAGCCATTTTTAGCTCCCACTTATTTGCGCCATTAAAAATCGTCTCTTCCATCCCAGCTCCATCTGTCCTTCTACTCCACTGAACAGTACAATGCTCCTCTCCGCAATTACTCTCTCCCCAAACTCCATCACCAACCAATCACGCACACGTGTTCTCCTCCTCTCCTCTATCGCCACCGGCCCTCCGAAACCACCAGCTCTCTCTGCTCTCAAGCCACTCAATGCCGCCACCTCGATTCGCCACATTTCTCGTACTCTCCCCGACGATGAACCGCGAGAACCCGAACCAGGAGTTCCCTTAGTATCCTCCGCCTCCGCCCTCGCGTCCGCCATTCGGAAAGCTTCGACGTCTCCCGTGGAGTTCTCTCAGACGGTCGAAGACGACCACAAACACAAATTGGTCCTTCCTAGCCCCGATTTTCAGCGTCTCTGCATCGAGCAACTTGACCTCTTTCGCAGAATCGTTGATCCCGATGCTATTCTTTCGGTCAGTTTATTCTCTGGATTAGCCACCAAGATCTCGATTCTTTTCGTTGCAGGAGGGTTTAAGGATCGAGCTTTTCTTTTTTCTTCTCTTCTTCGCAGGTTTATGTGAGGCCGGCTGGTAGTTACGTTATGGACCGGCTGGAGCTGCGGCGAGTCATGTCTTATCCAGCGGTGAACGCGGCGGACATTGTAATCTTAGTCGGTAATTTTTGTATTCCGGCGGGATTACGTACAGCAGAAGCTGCGCTTTCCAGTCAACAAGTATATGACTTACTGTAAAGCTCGTTACTATTTTAGGTATATTAAATCTGTTTCTTTGATAACAATCAAAATGTTGTTGTGGATACTAGGTGGAAGTTGTGGCGGAGCACAGGGCTGTGGTTTTTCCGATGGTGAAGCAGCCGTTTGTTGTCGGGTTTTTGGTGGCCGAGCTGCCAGAGATGGAGATGGAAGCCCTTGGGAGTACAGAAAAGGTAGAGCGGGATTTGGTTAACTCTCCGACCCCTGAGCAGGTGTATGGTTTGCCAAAAAGTCCTGATGTGAAATCGTGGGAAATTCAATCTATTGAAAACGAGACATCAAGGATGAACACATTTACTACTGAGGAGAGATTGAATGCCATCAATATATCTCGCTCCCTAGCTATGGCCTATGTGATGGATCAGGTGGGTTGCATTTGACTTTCTCTTTTTGTTATCTTTAGGCATTCATAAGCCAAGGCATGGTTCAATAATCTTGCCTAGTCTCTTAAATGTTATCCAAGTTTCGAGCAATTAAGTACAAAAACCTTGGTGGTGGTTGGGAAAAGTTAGATTTTTTATTTTATTTTTTCAATTGCCATGATTCATTCATTTAATTTAGTTTGCTTGTTCTACGTCATAACCTGGTATTGCTTTCTTATTCATGACCTTAGTTCTTATGCAGAAGTCAATATTACTTCAGCAATCATCATGGCAAAATAATGTCAGAATGAGTGCTCTTGTTGAGCAGGTAAGATTCTGTTGCTAATTGTCATTAATCATTTTAGTTCAGTCATGCTTTGTTTTGGTTTAAGTTAATATGATTTCCTTTTGTTGAAATTTATTATAGATTCGTGGTCCCCTTTCTAGTATTCGGGCTCTGAGTAGAATGTTGTCAATTCACACAAAGAAAAGTGAGGTTAGTTTACCCAGTAATTTCAGAGGCTCTTTCTCTTTATTTTTTTTCTCCCATTGTTCTATTTATGCATGAAAGCTATGTTCTTGCAGATTGCTCATGACATTGTTGAAGACATTCTGGTACAAAGTGATCAGATGAAAGACACCCTTCAAGAACTTCAAGATGCTGTTTACTTGACAAAGGTACTCTTCCTCTCTCAGACACATGCCATCTGGGTATATACTCACACAGACTGTCTTCCTTGAGTTGATATGATAATTTTACTACTGTGTTTTCTGTGTGTGCATGTATCTGTTTACTTCTTAGTTCACTTTGATCACTTCCAATTGCATGATTGGATCTAGTTCCTTTCTGATTGTTATGTATATCTTGTTGCCAGACTAAGATTGATGGGTTCCTTTGGAAGTCTTTTTCCCATCATCACAATAAAATGTTTGGATTTGCAAGCTACAAAATGCTTTTGAAGTAAAAAATTTTTTAATCTCTTTGACTAACTTATCATACAACTTTAATGCATTTTTATATTATCATTTATGCTAAAGTTACAATTTATATTCTTCTGACATTTATATTTCTATTTTCTTAGGCCAACATAATGCGTTACAATGAAGAATCATTGAAAAAGATACATAATTTGAGTTATGGTCATCATGACTCAAAGACGTCCGAATTATCAAATGACTTTTTGAGCAATAGCTACAGCAGTCAACTAGAAAATTCAGGTGTACAGTTATCTCTGGGCACAACAGCTAAGGATTTAGAGATGCCAATGCCACCCCTGGCACTTGTCCCACTACGACAGGATGGGATTAGGTAGGCAGTAACCTTTCAGGAACTCACTTTTAGTTTTGGCCAAAATTCAGTGAACTATCTAATTTTCATCTCCTGAAGTAGAGAAAAGTAATCAAGAATATCCATGTTATGACCACCATAGAACAGAAGCGTTTTTGGTTAAGAAACCAATAACGCTCAAGAATCCTAATTCCAGTCCCAGGCTGATTTAGAGCTGTTCAAGTTTTCTATCTTTTATTCTTGTATCTCAGTAGCCTTACAAATGACTCTCCTGTTTCTGTTTCCTTTATCCATTTTCTGTTTTGTTGGATGAAGAAGTCTTGGGGATTATTTCTACAAATGTGCATCTTGGCAGTGACTAAAACCTGAACCTGAATTCCTGACCATTTCGTTTTTTTGTCAATCAAGATAAACAAACTACTGTTTTAATTCATTATATTTGAATTTGAAGGTTTCTCTTTGCTTATGCTTTTCCTTTTGTGTCAGGAAGACCATGCAATGTTTCTGATTTGCTGTTTGATTTGGTTGAAGCTGTAAGACCTCTTGCCCATAAGCAGCAACGTATTGTGGAATTTAGTGATCTTTCACAAACTTTGCAAGTTTCTATAGAAGAGCCTGCTTTGCGTCAGGCTTTGAGCAACTTAATTGAGGGTGCCTTGTTGCGCACCCATGTTGGGGGCAAGGTTGAAATTGTTTCTGCTCAAGCACCAGCAGGTGGCACCCTAGTACTAATTGATGATGATGGGCCTGATATGCACTACATGGTAATCATTGCTAATTCTTTGCATTACATTGTCAATTTTCTACTCTGTTAATGCAGTTTCCTGCTTTCAGATTACAGATAATAAAATCCCTTGAATATTATTTTTTAGTCAAATCTTTAGAATAGAATTGATTCTCTCCTCTTACAGTCATATTCAAAATATCATTTGGGAGATTCCAAGTGCAAACCTCATTCAATTTACCACTAAATGTTAACTCTCTCTGATAAGGCAGGAATCTGTTATTGGTGTTAGGATCATCAAAATGGAGACGATAATAATTATTAAGTGCCATTTTGATTGGCAATCTTGAAGCAGATTTCAAGACAGTAGTTAAGCTCCTGAAACTAAAAATTGTTTCTGTTCAATAGAGAAGCTTAAAGGAGAGACTATACCATAAGGAGAAATGGCCTTGAAATGAACTTCCAGTTTAGTTTTGGCTCATACTGACCTTGTGTGGATTCTTTTCTTTTATGTGTATCTGCAGACACAGATGCATTCACTCACACCATTTGGAGCTGAACTCTTCTCAGAAAACATGGTGGAAGACAACATGACGTGGAACTTTGTTGCGGGACTAACTATAGCCCGTGAGATACTTGAGGGTTATGGTTGTGTAGTCCGTGTCATATCACCTCGTAGACCAGATGCTGCTCTTGGAGCAGGTGGAACTCGCATAGAACTCTGGCTTCCTACCTTCACTCAAATACCTGATACAAAGAGCCCTACTCATGAAGCATAGCAAGAAGTGGGGGTGCCACGGTAGTATAGTCATCAATTCATCATCTTTTAAGAAGTCTCCTCTCCGTGGAAATTCACAACAAGAATGAGCAGGCTAAGTTTGTGAGTTCCTGCCTCAAATGCTTTTACTATCTAGAATTTGACTGGATTTTGCAAAACCTGTTGTATTGGTTATGCTGTACATGCCTAGAAAATAAGATGTAAATAACAAGAATTAAGGATTATTAGAAGTTCAATGAAAATGAAATATTGTAGAAGTGTGGAACTCTTCTAATTTTATCTAAATGATCATATTAGACAAGGAGGAAAATGTGATGTTTGAACCGTAAATATTTTTCTGTATTCATTATGCTCAGACGAAAAAGAAGCAGCTGCTACGAAAGCTGAGGTTCTCTTTAGGTGGGTGGAAAATGGGGAGGAATGCTGGTATGGCAAGCAAAGGAATTTTTTTTTTTTTTTTGTCATTTTGTTCGGCCCAATAATTGCCGTGTATGGTGCAAAGGTTGACGCAACTCCCTCGTTGAAAACGGGTTACGAATAAGACCTCCTAGCTTGCTA